CTATCATAGCGGACAAATAATGTAACTATATGACCTTAATTACAGTCCATTTAAACAAGTGACATACATGTATGTTGAATAAACTTTTGTTTAGCTATGCGGCCTTCTGAGATTTAATGGTGTCAATAATACATAGGATTGAATTCAATCTTCGTAGATTAAGATTATTACTGAAAAACTTCTCGCTAATTGATATGATCTTGATTTATTTAGGTACTTATTTGAGCGATCCAGTTCCCTCATTATTCGGGGATAGATATTGAGGTTTACAGAGGTTCATCGGTCGGAAATAATATTCATCGGGATGTTTTATTTTCTTGAACTTCATTATATTAGCCAGAGAATGACGGAAAGCTAAGAAACATTGGATAGCATTTCACTCTGCTTTGGAAATCCTCAGCATTTCGCATTCAAGACATTAAATGGGTTTGAAACTCTATAAGCTCTGAGTACATACCACTAATCAGCTGTAAAACAAGACTAAACAGCTATCCTTTGAGACATTAGTTTTATATGCCTCTCCGACTAGTCTCCCTTACTGATGAAGACTGCCTTGTAAAGAGTGATATTGTTTCATTTTTTACCGTCGCAGCTTTTAAGTATGTTGCCGCCGAGCTCCTCATGAGCTATGATATTTCACAGAAGTTAATTACATGACGTTGAATCTACCAGTTGGAAAATGTGAATTTTCATGCAGTTAGTCTCTGAAAAACTTGAATAACATTATGAGAGCAGTATTTGTAAAAGAAAATGACTTGATTTACTCTCCAGGATTTTCATCATCTGCATACAGCCCAAAAAGATGGAAAAATCAGTATACAAATGCAAACATACATGCAAGTTTGAATATTACGATCGCTGAGATGTCGGTGTGTCCAGATGATGGGCCTCAAAGAGGACGAAACGTGAGTCCTGAGATCTACTGCTAGTCAGCATCTATTCTTAATAAATGTAATTTATTCTGATATCAGTGCAACTATTGAAGATGTAGAATGAGGGGTGACATAATAAAGGTTTCATACAAATAAAATCGACTTTGAGAAGGCCTTTGACAGCGTCGACCGAGAAGTAATTTGGAAACTGCTTCAATACTACGGAGTACCGCAAACCTTTATCCGCCTCATTCAACAACTATATGAAGATGCTACATGCCAAGTAATCCACAATGGGAAGCTCAGTGATGCCTTTGAAGTGAAGACAGGAGTGAAACAAGGTTGCCTACTATCCCCCATGATATTCTTGATTGTGGTGGACTGGATCATGCAGCAAACAGTAGGCAGCGAGAAGAGGGGGATACACTGGACGACGGAAAAGAACCTAGAATATTTGGATTTCGCCGATGACTTATGCCTAATGTCACATAAACTTGAAGATCTGCAGGCAAAAACTAACAAGTTGACAGAAGAGGCAGCCAAGACGGGACTTCAGGTGAATATAGAGAAGACAGAAGTGATGAAGATACCGCACCACCACCACCAACAACAACAACAAACTCCAATCACCGTCAACGGGAGAAACTTGAAGGAAGTAACCTCCTTCACTTATCTAGGAAGCACTGTTTCAACTACAGGCGGGACGGACGAGGACGTCAAAGTCAGAATCGGAAAAGCAAGACAGGCGTTCATTAGCCTGAAACCAGTGTGGAGATCTTCTGCACTCAGCATGCGGAACAAGATACGGATTTTCAACACCAACGTAAAGTCAGTGCTCTTGTATGGCTCAGAGACTTGGCGCGTCACGAAAGGCATTTCCAATAAACTACACACATTCATCAACAACTGCTTACGCTCGCTGCTGAAGATCAGATGGCCAGAAAAAATAAGCAACAAGGAACTCTGGGAACGAACCAACCAAGAACCTATCACGCAACAAATATGCAGGAAGAAGTGGAGATGGATTGGCCATGCACTGAGAAGGCCGACTGAGGACATCACGCGTCAGGCCAGTTGCTCGAGTGGAATCCCCATGGGAAGCGACGAGTTGGACGTCCGAGGGTGACATGGAGGAGGTCGTGCGAGCAGGAAATGAGAGCTTGTGGGCTGTCGTGGGACCAGGTTCAAAAGATCTCAGAGAACAGAGGTTACTGGAGGCGTGCTACTGAAGCCCTATGTTCCACTAGGAACCCAAGGGACTAATAATAATAATAATAATAACAAATAAAATCAGTCAAACCGGACACACTTGTAGTAATGCGATATAAATCTTCTGGAATGAGTGAGAAAAAGAACCAAATGTCCAAAACGGTGATTACGTAATCAGTGTGGAACGCTAAGGAGACCAAATCGAGTATAATGATAATGACAATGAAAAAAAGCTTAATTCAAAATGATGATAAATAATTTGAAACTGAAGAGAGTTAGAGAAGAAGGGAAATGCAGGTTTTAACGGGGTTGAAAGAGGTTGTGAGCTTTTTTGATGGACAAAATCACTCGGTTCCAAGATGGTGACAGATTAAATACAGTTTCCTGACGAGTATACCAATTAGACTGTATTTCCTCGATGGTTATAGTTTCAGAAAACTACAGTGCATTTAAAGTCCACTGTTTTTGACTATTAACAAGGCTTCTTAAATGTTAATTACATGTTCTATCTCCACTATGCGATGTTTTGGAACAAGAACTATGACCTTCAGGGCTGAGATTCCTCGAGGCAAAATAAAGGATTTAGGCTCTCAGTGGATGCAGCACACAGTATCGTACATTTACTGTTCGAAAGTGATATATACCGTATCTACAAGAAAGTTCAGCGTTAATATGCTTCTAAACCTTCAGACGAAACTCGAAGTTCAGAAATCTTCTGTAAGTCCGTTGTCAGCGACACCAGAGCGGTGCTAATGTGGGACAAGGCAACTGTCACAGAATCGTTCACATCGGAATATGATATATTCCGGTAGTAAATTAAGAAATATAGTTCAAATGACGTAATTTATGCAGAGACTGCCGAAAAACTCACCAATCTTCATAAAATGACATTACAGTTTATGACCATAAGCGTTGTATCACATTTCACGTGTGGATATCTTGCAGAAGAAGGAAGGAGGCAATATCCAAGTGCCATCAATCAACTACGGCAATACAGCACTAATAGTCATGTTAAAGGCAGAAATAGAGTTACTGAGAAAGAGGTTTACACCCTGATCAAGTAGAAGTGAAGTCTCTCGTGTTGTGTTTTTGATCTTGTCAAATGCTTCCAATGCTTCATAAGCCATGTTCAAAGTTGTACACTTACTTTTATTAAAGGTGTTTAATGAATTTAAAATGTGGGCATATTGTGAGGCAAGGAGGCGGTAATAAATTACCCTCCTAGGAACTTTACGCAGTACTCTAAACTGCGTAGGCACTGGACAGTCTTGAGTCGCTTGTACCTTTTGAGGCAATGACTGAATCCCATACTTATCAGTGACATGACTAGGAAAAGTCAGTGAACTGACGCCAAGTTAGCATTTAGCTTAACTGATGGTCACTTAATGCTTAGAAGGCCTTGTAAAACTATACCCAAGTGTCTGTGATGAGAAACTTTGTCTAGACTGCCTATAAGAATATGATAAGAATATGACACAGTAGAAGTATACTCCACGCCAGATATCATGAATGAAGAGCTTGAACTTCTGTAAAGCGTTGCGTAGTTCAAAGGTGTGTAAAAACTAAAAAAGACAGAGTGGTATGATGATCTTTGTCTTCAGAACTGCTTCCTGACGAACTGGTTTCAAATGATACATACGCATCACACTGAGTTTTCTGAAAACAGTCATGTATGTGTGGTAGTAAGATGTTTATTCACTGTCAGTCAGCCAGTAAGGATTAACATTGCTGTATAACGTTTCAATCCACCACATCTCATATCAGCATACTAAGACAGTAGGCACTAAGATGGAAATTAAAAGAACAAGGAAGAAAGAAACCAAAAGTAGTAAAAAGAGAAAGAAAGGGGCTAAATAAAAGAATGAAATTCAATGTAGTGATTGTGCTAAAGATTATCTCTGGAAACACCTGAGTCACTAGCATCGAGTCCCAGCCATATCACCTAAAGTCCTCAACCACCGACTTTGGCTATCAGATGAACCCCTAGTTGGGAAGTTCGCATCTTCTTTTGTGGCTTAAATCAACAGTTCGACTACCTTCAACTTTTATATAGCCTGAATCCACTTAAGCTGTTATTGCATGATAGATTAGACAGTGATAAGGTGCACTACACATATCCTAGCCGTCTAAGCCGATACAGGTTGCATCTTACATTCACTTACCTGGTAAAGTGTTATTTCCTCTTTTTTATGCAATCCACCCTTGCACACAGGAAATCCGAAAGTCATTACAGTCAATTGATATTCCAGTCTTCTTCAGACATTTCTTGATAGCTTAGCATTCTCTCTAGACCAGTTCCATTGGATCACTAACATTTATTTTCTAGATTAAAGAGTATTTTTCATTGTTCAGTTCCCCCAAAATCTGATTCAGAATCCTCAACTCAGTTTTCTATGTGCTGCATATTTTTTTCAAATAATTTTTAACAAACGTTTAAGTACTGTACTAGTTTTATTAATTAATCAGTTATTTGACTATAAAATTGCATGATGAAAAAAAGTGAAGTGTTGCTTTTATCACAAAACAACAGGAGACAACATAAATTACGCTAACAAGTTAACTTTCTCAATTGAAAAGTAAACGAAACAAACAAAGTAACATTATTACATAATGATAGATATTCTAACATACAACATAACGAAGAAAGACTTTTACAATAGAGAACAGATAGGCACAAGTGTTCCTCTTTTTAATTTCAGGTAACAGATTAAAAATTGTCATTTTTCTTTGAAAATAAAACTCGACCAGTATGAAGACGAGGTGAATCGGGAACCAATTCAACTAATTAACTCATTTATTTATTTCAAGCAAATAGTAATAACCAGTAAAATAAAGAGAAAACGTGTTATTCAACCAAATAATCAATTATTCAAAGGAATTAGGTATACATTATTAATTTTAAATAACTCTGTACAATTATCACAGTTTTGCCGGTGCTTTACGATTACTTATAATTTCTAGTAATAACAGCAATAATATATACTAATAACAATGATACTACTAACAATAATATCAGTATTGACCTGGATACAGTTAGCTAGTTAGTCAGTTTGTTAGTTAGTAATGTGTTCATTCGTCATTAAAAAAAATTCATAACTGTAGGTAAGCAAACAATCAACATTGGTTTAGATGAACAAATTAATCAGAATGTTGTATAAACAGTAATTCTCTTCTCCCCATCCCGCGCAAAAAAAAGCAGCGAAACATTTTCTAGAAATCTGCCTAACATTTCTCTTATCTATATATATATATATATATATATATATATATATATATATATATATATATATATATATATATATATATATGTCTAGAATATCATTCACTAGTACTGAATACTACATATTTCAACACTGAATGACTTAAAACAAGAATAAAAACAGTAAATATAAATTAAATTGGTGCAATTAATGTAGGATTCATTGGAAATGTTTTACGTATACCCAAACATTTTTCTCGATCAATATACAAACTATTCAATTTAACAGATAAATCCACTTCTAGATGACTTTTCACGCTTAATAATTCTTGATGTGCTGATTGTATATTGGTTAACTGACAGACAAGTTGATCAACTGATTCTTGTAATTCTGTTATTTCAAGTAATAATCTATAATTCAAAAGAAGAAATTAAAATAAGAAAGAACAATAGAAAAGTAATAATGAAAACTAGACGATGATAAAAGTTATTTCATTCCACTAAGAAATAGTTATTAGCTAGATGAACTAAAGTAGATTTTTGTGCAGAAGTGCATCTGTTCATATTACTCCATTTTTATAAGGCTAGATAGAAGAGAAAAAAGTTATTTTAAAGTGAATAAGTGCGCCAGATAGTAGAGGAAAAGTAAATATAATTTCGTAAAAATCTGATCAATTTTGAGACATTTTACTGAGAATTTCCAACTGTTAACATTTAGCTTCGCTATGATACCAATCACTTAGCTTACACTCCTTTATACTACTCATACCAACAATGACGAGGTTCATGAGTTGCTTTTTGTTTTCATCTGTTCACTCTTAACTTTTGCCACAACCTAATCCTAGTTGAACGCATCCGAAAAGACATTTAATCAAAATGTGAAATACATGTTCAAGACAAATGAAACAGTTAGTGAAGCTTGACAATCCCTCCTTAGTTTTCGACTAACTTCTCTCCTACCATACAAGTGAAATACTAATTATACAACAATGACCAGAACCTATGTAGCTTCTTCATCTTTTCTATTTTCAACAGAAATATCGTACAGTTGTATAGTACATTAACGCCGTAATAGGTAATGGAATATATATTCCGTATAAGCTGAAAAACACCAAATGGGTATTAGAATTAATGCCAAAGTTTCGACGATACTCAACCTTATAGCTAAATCGAAAGTATTTTTATTATTATTTGTCCTTTGGATTGCTAGTGGAAAATACCGCTTCAGTAGCACGCCTCCATTTCACTCTCTTCTCTCTAGTCTTTTCAACCTCACTCCACAACTGCCCACAAGCTTTCATTTCTCCTACACATGATCTCCTTCATCTCACCCTCGGACGCCCATCTCGTCGTTTCCCATCTGGGTTCCACTCGAGGGCCCGGCGCGTGATGTCCCCAATCGGTCTTCTAAGTGTATCTCCAGTCCAATCCATCTCCACTTTCTTCTGCACATATGTTGGGTGATGGGTTCTTGGTTGGTTCGTTGCCAGGCCAGAGTTCCTTGTTGCTTGTTCTTCCTGGCCATCTGAGCTTCAGTAACGAGCGTAGGCAGTTGTTGATGAATGTCTGCAGTTTATTGGAAATGCTTTTCGTGATACGCCAAGTCTCTGAACCATCACATAGAAGCATTGACTTGATTGGCATTATTGTTGAAAATCCGAATCTTGTTGTTTATCCTGAGTGCGGAAGATCTCCACACTGACTTCAGGTTAATGCAGGAAGACCTATCCTGCTGTCTTTTCGATCCTGGCTTTGACGTTCTCATCTGTGCCACCGTGTGTGGTTGAAACAACGGTGCCCAGGTAGGTAGATGATAGGTGAAAGAGACAACTTGCTTTAGATTTCTCCTGTTGATGGTGGTTGGTGCTTGCGTTTGTTGTTCTTGTTGTTGTTGTTGTTGTTGTTGTCGATGATTGGGTATCTTCATCACCTCTGTCTTCACTGCCTCTTCTGTCAACTAGTTGGTTTTTGCATATAGATCTTTGAGTATGCCCAGCAGAATTATAGAATATGGCATAGGAATCTAGGAATGCAAATAGCGATTGGAATTTTTGATATTTATGTGAATACTGACTTATACCATCTCCAGGGAACACTCAGTTGAAATATATATAATAACTAGTTTTCCTTTAAATCTTTGGATCCCTTTATCCAATGATTGTCTAAACGTTTGTAGAACGACACGCTACGTAACTTTTACTTCCAAAAGATCAATTAAGTGTACAATGACCACCAATTAGTGCCAGGTTTTTAACCATTTGCTGTGTGATTTATGTTAAAATTATGGTGTTTAAACTTTGGGCCTAATGGGAATTTAACGAAAATCACATTCACTCAAAATATTTGTGTTCCCAATCTCAAGTCTTTGGTCAATGAAATAACTCAACACCAAAAATTTATTTACCAGTCTGCCAAACTAGGGGGGGGTTATCTTAAATAATCCCATCAGCAAACAATACAAGGTAAGCCCCGTTGTAATTCAGATCGATTTTCATTGGGATGAAAATTCCTGGTCGTGCAGCAAGAGTGATTACAACGAATGGACACTTGAGTATCAAGCAATCACATAAAAGCCAACCAAAACCATTACTGCTTAAAGTGAAGACCTGAGTAACAGTTGATAGACCGCTAGACCAGTAATCCACAAACCACTGACTGCTGTGATCTGGGAGTTTATTCGATGTTCAATAATACCAGTCTACCAAACCATGGCTATTCACATGGTTTGATAGAAGAAATGTAACTCAAGCGGATACATGTTCACATATCACATTATGAGTCGTAGATGCTGTGTGCGAGCTTGTCATACTATCCAGCTAATGAGGTTAAACTACATGAAGCAGGGTTCGAAACCAAGAACCCTTTCTTGATAGTCGAGTTTCCAAGTCTATGAGTCACATTCCCACTTCATTCTCTGCCAAAAATTTCTTTAATGACTACGTAAGTCAAGTTCAGATAAATAATAAATTTGACAGTTCAACCCACACAGAGCATTATGCTGAGGCATGTTAGGCGTATATAAAGCACATAGAAAACATGTTCAAGTATATGAGTTATTACGGTACAACAACTAACTATTAATACAATTATTTATTTCATATTCATAGGTGGCGAGCAATTATTTTAATGGATATCTGAATAGATCCATGAAATAGCGGTGATTTAAACTGTTTGACTTGAAGTGAATAACAGCAATAACAACAAACATTATTAATCTGTTCAACAGTCATGCTGCTTACTTTGTTTACTTTAATGATGAGACAGTGAAAACTTGTCTAAAATTGCTTTTTTTTAAAGCAAAGAGTTTAATACACCGAACAAACAACTATTAAAGCCACTCATAATCGATTCCATCAGTTCACATACATACCTAGTCATTGAAGTCTGTTTGTTTTAGAAATATCTTTCTGGTAATCTAAAAATAGGGTTTTACTAAAGGATGGATAGGTAAATGGAAAAGATACACCTGCAGTAAACACGACTTATAAGAGTGGATATCAGTAGTAATTATCACAAGAAGTAAATAACAATCAAGTGATTAGAATTTAGGAGTGTAGATGAAACAATATTGAGTGGAAATATAGTGATTAAAAACATTGTATACTTGGACACCGCATAAGTGTAAGATTCATTATTATTTTTATCATTAACGATTGTAATTTTCCAACAAACAATCTCTACTGCCATCAATGAACTCATGTCCACTTTGTGACTGTATTCTCACTTAGAACACACAACATAGATTTACCTCGATGACTAAAATGAAGCTACAAGAAGGCTAAGAACAATCACGCCGGAAAAAATGGTAGCCCGTTTCATTTTGAGTTAGTATTTATCACGGAATGATATCGGTTAAAGCATCATTAAAAACCTGAGAGCATTAGTTTGCAACCTGTCAACTGTAAACAGCTACAACACTTTCAGTGATCCACTTCAGAACTATAAGTGTTTCGTGGGAAGTACGTTACCATTCAGCCACAGGACTGGAATTCAAAACTTCACTACTATTTCTATCAATTTACAATGTAGAGCGACTGTCATCGATCCATAAAGAGTGGGACTATCGACTTGAATCATTTGAATTAGTATAAACAGACTGACTGATGTTAGAAAACAATGGTTGAAGCATTTATGCAAAGTTGCTCAAAGTCGATCAACTAATAAGCATGGCGAATTGATAGAAACGGTAAACTGTGATCCCAGCGGCTGAATGGTTAACACTTTCACCATGAGACCTAGTAGTCTTAAGTTTGATCCTTAGAGGAGGCGTAGGGGCATACTGCTGAGGAATGCCTTACTATTAGGACGAAACAGTTGACCAGTGTTCCCAAGTTTTCAAATGTTCTTTAACCAAGACGAATACTACCTTAATAATATATAAGCATTTATATCTAGTTAGGATATCCTTTACACTTGTCGCTATTACTATCATTTTGCATCGTCATACATACTCTTATAACATGTGTAGTCAAATACTAAAATGTAAATTTTAATATTTAAAACTATATTCGCTTTTGACCTGATAGATATTTGTAATACAGTAATTCTTATTAATTTTTAGAATAAACTTTTTAAGCGCTTGAAATTATAGTATATCACATAGCTCACGCCACTTTAGTAACACTAATGTACACATTATCAAGCAGTAAAATGAATAAGTAAAAAAAGAACAAGTGGATGGAAAACGAATAATATCAAAGAAGACAGTGGTGTATAGTAGGAGGATGCCAATATCTGCGTCTCATTCAGGTTCGGGCTGAATGTTGGTCAACTGAAACATTCCGGTGGGCCAGATGAACTGTGCTTCAAAGTATTCGGAACAACGTTCTAGCCACGTTTCCTGGGAGGTTATCAGTGTATCATCCTTTTAGGTGATGGTTTTACTCACCACCGTCTTCTTATTCTCGATATCCCCCAACCCAATGCTGATGCCTTCACCTCTCCCGCTTTCATCACTCACATTTGCTCGCAATCGTTACGAAGATTCTTAGCCAATTTACGCTTAAGTTGCTTTCGCTCATCATTGTGGTTAAAGCAGTTGAAAGTAGTCATCTCGTATCAATCAGTTTGGATGAAGTTGCGGAAATCCAATGACGTCTGCTAATCTTCGGGCGTAGTTTACCAAGTATATATACTGCTGTTTCCACAGAGGACTTAATACCACATCAGGTTTCCTCAGGATGAGGACCGCTATCCAGTTCATGTAAATATTCAACTATCTCCTCCATAAGTGCGCACTTCACGTTCTCGTCTCCCAGTCCAGAACACAGGCTCTGCTGTCACCTGTTTTCTGCTACCATTGAGCCTCATACATACACGAGCCCATACTAGCGCGTGATCGGAGTCCAAACTAGTACTCCAGAAGGAGCGGCAATACTCTACCGATGGTCTATGGCGATATGATTCGTCTG